CCCCAAAACCCCAAAACCCCAAAACCCCTTAAAACTAGATTTGTGTGTGTTTATTTTCGATATTAAAATGGCAAAATAAAATAGTTCCACAAATCATAGTCCACTGAAATATCATGAGTCAAGATTTATGATAAGTAAAGATTTCATCGACGATCCCAAGTAATAGAATCATAGATCAAAGAGAGATCAAGAGCAAGCAGCTAAAATATTGATTGATCGCTAAAAAGTTCTGTAAGCATTTTACTAATTAAATCGAATGATGCATTATTTTTAACAACATTAGTGCTAAGATGAAAGAAACAACTAGATTATTATGTGAAAATGTCACTAATCTATAAGTTGATAGCCCAAAGGCTTAGAGCTTTCAAGATGAATATATAAAGAATGCTAATTAGATCGTTTAGATCTAAAAATAACGCAGGCAACAGTATGAACTAAATAAAGATTAATACAATGGATCAATCTTAGGTATGTTTTAGAACATTATGCCCAAGCGTATATATCCGAGAGAAGAATTTGAGAAAACCAGCAGTGCGAATGCTAGAGCCTATGCATCAAGTCATAATAAAATTTACGGGAATCTAAAGCCTATACGAGTAAGGAACGACAGACATTAGTCTAAATTCAACAATAATAACGATGATTAGCAAAGACATCATAATTCAAGGTAAAGGCAAGACTTAACTCCTGAATATAGTAAGTTATAACCATTAGATACCTACTAAAATCATACGCAAATCTTGCAATAAAATTCAACAGAGTTAAAATTTAATCAAGATTTAGACTCATAATCAAGAAATCTAGAACCAAATAAACAGAGCGAACGATTTTCTAAATAGTTTAAAACTCATGAACAGATAAAACCTGAAAATGAGTAAATTTAAGTAACCTAACAGCCAAATAAAAATATCTCCCCTTATAATCAAAAGATCCGTCCAATTAGAAAAAGGGAAAAAAGTTTTCAGAATGAATCAAAGACAAGCGGCTAGAAATATGTGTTAAGTATTCGAAGGGATTCTTAAAATAGTAAAGATCAACTTAACCACAGTTAATTAATTGCAAATAAGAGCATAGAGCAGCATATAAATGTTGGCTAGTATTTGCATGAAAGTAGAAAGGCAAGTATGGAAAAATTACGTCAGTATGATGAGGACTATAAAAGTGATGAGGATGAGCTTAAGCAAATGAGGCTGAGTGTTGAGAAACTAAAAGATCAGGTAACTAAAAAACTAAATGTGCTTAATCTTAAGGCTCCTGCGGATTGGAGAGAAGTAATAATAAACTATAAAATAAAGAGGCAGCTAATAAATAGAGATAGATCTATTGAGGAACATAAAAAAGAAGAAGCGTATAATAATGAAAGTATTGGTTCATATGAGAATAAAAAGTTGTTGAATAAAACAAACTACATGAATTTCAGATAAAATTTGCATAGGAATAGCCTAAGTAATAGATAAAAGTATAATAATAATCTCGAAGATCTAATGAGTAGATTATAAGCTCACAAAGAACATCTTCTTAGTAGTTAATAATCAGCAGATAGGTCTGCAATTGATCCTATGAGCAGAACATTCACAGCAGCCTTAAAAATAAGAAAGTCTTCATTAGGAGAATAATAGTCTCTAATAAAGATGGCTGCTCTTAATGAAAGTCAAAATATTAATTTGATTTAAGATACTCAGTTGTAATCTTAGTCACCCCATTTTCAATAAATGAGGAATTAGTTTAGAATGAAAACCTCTTAAGACTCTAGAAATCCTACAAATCTTAATAAAATGTTCAATTCAGAATCTAGAGGCATGAATGAGAAGGCATCTTTTCTAGGTCAATAAAAGAATATTGAGAGGCCTGTTACAAACCAATTAAGCAGCAAGGCTCCGATGGAAAAATACAGCTCTTTAATTTTCCAAAACTAATAATAAATCAACAACGATATGAATTAAACCAACAGTATTAAATTCATGGTAAATTCAAACAAAGTTTAAGATAATCAATCTAAACAGAGTTTTGATCTAACTTAAAAGTAGTAACTCATTAAGCTGCTTTAAAATGAACATAAAAATCTTAAAATAGAATAGAATGATGATGAAAGGAGAAATTATATGGTTACTAGAATGCCTTGGAGTCCATATTGCGGATCTTGCAATGAAAAAAGTGATAGCTTGCTTATGAATAAAAATTTTGAGAAAGTTTTAGATCCTAAGACAGCTAAGCCTCTTTTGCTTATCAAGAAATAGTGAATTTCAATATTAATTTCATGAAATTTAATGTTTACGGGGTTTTGG